CAACAACAACAACAACAAGAACAATGAACAATAAAAACAAGGCACCACGTGGTTATTAAAGTTGGTTTTTCAATTAAACTTTTGCCGGCGCTTTATTATAAGGCACAGTGGTGCGAGCTATGCCAAGCTGGTGCTGCAACAAATTGTACCAAAAATAGCTACATATTTGCTGCTCAGCTATCAGCATAAATTCTTACATAATTATGTCTGCTCTTAATATTTAAATAAAAATATATTTATATATATATAATATTGCATATTAATTGAGCTGAAATTGTACAGACAGCGAATAATTAACACATTTGCATACCCATCACACATTTTCAACTAACACCCTACCACGGTAACTCGTTTTGCTGTCAATCGTGTTTTACGACTCTCTCGCTCACTCACTCTAGCTTGGCCTTCTCTTTTGATTTGCTGCGTGCTAATTATGTATGTATGAATATATGTTTGTAAGTATGCATGTTTTCGGTACATATGTACATATGTATGTCGGCTCGTACTCCGACCTCTCTCACTCACACTCTCTCTCTCTCTCCATCACTGTGTTTTGCTGGCGCTCTCAAGCACCGGCTCTCTGCTCTCAGTTCTTTTCTGTTTACCTTATTGAATGCGAATGTAATGGCAAGAAGAACTTACAATCTTAACCCATACAAACATACATATGTATGCATATGAGTGGGTTTGCATCTGTGGGTAAATACAAATGTATGCATACGCCGTGACGTCTTTAATAAATAAAAGATGTATTGCATTGCAAATACAATATTTATGCATGCATGTGTATACAGACATATGTATGTATGTATATTAATTTGGCAAATTGATTGCTAGCAATTTATATGCGTGGCTGCTAGACGAATTGTACCGTTCATAGCTCATTAGAATTTCAGTGAGCTAAACTAGATACAATCATATATACACTCAAACCTGTATGTGTATTTATGTTTGAATGTGTGTATTTATGTTTGCGTGGGGTTTCACTTGCGAAGGGCCTGTCTGGCGGCTTGCTCTCTTTGACTCACCGCTCTCTTATTTTGCCATTCTGTTTTGTGCCCCTGTTGCGTGGCAATGAACGATCATAAAGCAGCCGCAGCACGTGTTGATCAAATCAAAGCTGTGCTTCAACAGCCCCAAAACGCAGCCCATGTAGCGTAACCATTGCACTAATTACACACACACACATACAATGGCGTATAGACCAGAGAATACATGTGTGTATGACATAATAATAATAATTATGCCTTTGTCGTTGTTGATGTTTTCATTCTGTTGTTGTTGTTGCTGTACACGGCGCCGGGCGACGCGTCGCTTTTTCCATTAAAGCTTCCCCACGTTTTGCATTTGCATTCACATTCGCATTCTCATTTCAGCTCAGTTTTGTTTCTGTTTTCTGTGCAGTTCTGTGGTTGCTTTTATTACAGGCGAATTTGCATACATATAGTGGATGCGAGCGAGATAGACTGCTTATTACAGCATTTGACGGCGCTGCAGTTTTTTGTTGTTCTGTTGCTTTGTTATTGTTGCCGTTTGTTATTGCACATTGACGTAATATCGGCTAGAAGCAATTCGAAACTGGACAAATGTTGGGGCTGCCCCCCCCAGCTCCTATTCAATTGGAGAATCGGCAAAAAATTTCAAGTACAGCTAAGGTCTAACTGTTTATTTTTTCTCTTTTTCTGTTGAATTTGCAAATTACTGACTAAGCAATTGCTAAGAAGCCAATTTCGCAGAGGGATTAGGTACAATACTGAGATTATGCTTATTTGTTGACCATTAATCAAATAAATATCATTTCATAGCTGTCATCTATACTTTAGCTACTCAATGGCAACTGTACGACGCCAGCAGTTGAATGGAACGCGAGTGCGTGTCTGTATGTGTGTGTGTGCGTGCATGTGTTTTTATCACGCCACCAGGCTCCCATTCACGGTCCACGCTGACCCCAGCGCCTGGCTCAATTCAATCTAAAATTTTCCAAACTGTGGCCAGACGCGTGCCAAGGTTTCAAAAATTTAATGACACGATTTGTGGTGCAGATTAAACGAAGACCCCAACATGAAGCCGAATTAATGGCACGCTTCTTGCGATTAAATTCTAATAAAAGCTGCGAGCTTGATCTTTGACTCACGTTCGGCTGCAGGCAGCTTGCAGCCGAAAAAAAATAAAAATAAAAATACAAACAAAAAATTTTAAATAACAACAAACGACAAATGACAACTTTTTCATGTTGAAGTGGGACAGACGAACGAGTGCCCGTCTAGCTAGATGTTATCAGAGCAAGTGAACGACTCGCTTCGGTCACGTCACAGATATTCCAATACGACGGACCATGTGATCTGATTGGCAAAAGCGAGAGGCAGCAAAAGAGAGCGCAGGCAGCGCAGCTGTGTGAGAGTGTGAGAGCGGCAGAGCAAGAGCGTGACTTAGCTAGCAAGCTTTTAACTGTATTTTGTCTATGAGCTTTTGCATTGGCTTGGATGATTTGCTGAATGCGCTGCGCATGCTTTTTGCACTTTGAGCTGATATCAGTTGATAAGTAGGCGTGACCAAAAAGCCTATACACGAAATTCTACTACAGAATGATGAATGACGTGCTTTGTACAGGTGTGTGTATGCCAAGAGGTATATAATTAAAATGTGATGTCCATTAGACTCGTTTCGATTGCACAGCGCCACTTTTCATCATCCACAGCTCAAAATTCTTTAAAAAAAATATTAAATAATCAGGAGGGTATATATTTATAGTCGCGTGGTAACCTCGTCGCTAGGCCGTGATAACAAATCGTGACTCTTGCCTTATATTTATTTGTTATTTATTTTTTTTTTAGATTTTTTTTTTTCTAGAGACTTTAATTGTGGCGACAGTGTCGCCTATTTCATCAAAAGTCCAACGGTTAACAACTACTGCCCCATAGTTTATAAAGTTTATCGAGTTTTCGGGCGTCTTTCCATAATTAGTCTGATATCAAAGGCAATAAATACCGTCCGCATATCAATCTACAGGTGTATCCATCTAGGTTTTATAGTACGGCATTACAGAGGGGCCGTTCGTATTACAATGGGCCCAATTAAACGGCATCTGGTCTAAGCTAATTAATATTTGTATTGTAAAAAAAAAAA